TGCAGAAGCTCCTAGGAATTGCTGCTTTAAAAACAGGAGCTGCGGAAACATGGCCCGGAGCCAGGTGCTTAACGTGCATTATCTCCGGCTGCAGCTGAGTCAGAACTGAACTCCCCAGAGCACTTCCACGCCTCCTGCCCCTCTCTCTGCTGGGTGGCCTCAGACATGGGCCTCTGCACTACTGGGGCTTCCAAATGTGGCTCCAAATCCTCCAAGTCATGATCTCTGGGGTCCAGAAGGTGAGGATTCACTGGTCAAGGAATGTAGGTCCCCCACCTCCTGCCGAGAAGGGCTGAGATGGGTGGAAGGATAAACCTGGGCTCGGAGGGGGAGCCAAGCGCCCTTTAAATCTCCTTTGTAATGCTGACCTGGACCTACAGGGCAGCTCACTGGGGTGTGAGGGACCTCCGGAGGACACTGAGCTCAACCTCCCAAGTGAGCATCTTGAAGGAGGGTTGCCCAGCCTCTTTTGGACACATTAGCTCTGAGGAAGCAGTCCCTGCATGGGACAGTTCAAATGGCCTCCAATCACACCAGCGATGACCACCGCCATCACAGCTGCTAGGGCAGGCATCTGCCGGCGGCCTCACAGCCTTGATCCAAAGTTTGCTCCCAGCCTCCTGCAGCCCTGCCTGACTGGCCCATCAGCAGGTGCTCCTCTGTCCTAAGTCTTGAAACCCCAGTTAACACGCAACTGAGTTTCCAGGAGGGCGACTTTGAGGCTATGGGCCAGCATGCATCTCGTCAGGAACTCCTTTACCAGGCAGGCTTCCACAGCCACAGACACGCGGGGCGGCAAGCATGGCTCATTTTGTGTAGAAAGGTCTGGGAAGCAGGTAGGCCTGAGGTAGTCATCCCATTTTCCAGAGAGGAACAGCAAGGTACTCCAGCAGCCCTGAGTGGCCGTGAGAGGGACAGTGGCCTGAAGTCAGGTAGAAGGGCCTCACAGAGAAACTGCGCTCGTGATATCATTCAGACACAAACTGGGCCCACACTCCTGTCCCAGAGCCATCTCCAAGGTGATGCCAAGAGGCAAGCCCCAGGGTGGTGGCCCAGGGACTGTGTGCTAATCCAGACCCTGTGTGGTAGGGACTCCAACCCATGAACCCACCCCCGACCCAGACAAAGCAGAGCAGGTGTGAATGGAAGGCTCAAGTTCTCACCCCTCTCCCACCCTCCTGCAGGACTCTGAGCAATCTCCCCGGCCCTCCTGGGTCCCCTCCACAGTCCACAGCTTCCTAATGGCCCCTGATGGCTGGAGACTTACGTTAGGAGCAAAAATTCTTTGGTTTGCTTTTCCTTTTTCTCACCCTAGCCACACCTGGTTCCCAAATCCTCTAGACCAAGGAGTGTTCAGTTCTGCTTGATGGTGGTGACTATGTGGTAAATTATTTTGTACCTGCACTGTGCCTGGTGCATAGAGGGTACTCAACAGCTGTTCATGAATGTATGGAAGGAAGGAAGGAAGGAAGGAAGGAAGGAAGGAAGGAAGGAAGGAAGGAAGGAAGGAAGGAAGGAAGGAAGGAAGGGAAAAAAAGGGAGAGAGGGGAGGGAGGGAAGGGAGGGAAGAGAGGTGAAGGGGAGGGAGGAAAGGGGAGGGGAGGGGGATGGGAATACCAAGGAGTGCTTTGAGATTCCCATCTCTTGCTTGGGGACCCCTGTAGTGGTCACATGTCCTATGGGGGGAGGGTAGACACCTGCTGAAGAGGGTGGAGGGTGGGGAAGAGGGGCTCTTCCTCCCAGCACCTACTGTAAGTTCCTGGGCTTCCCCTGGACCCTGCCTGGCTGCCAGGCTGTGGTGTGGCCGGACTGAGTGCTGTGAGCAGTCAGTGCTGTCAGTCACCTCTTCCCAAAAACTCTTAACCAGGTGCAATCTGCTATTAGAGCTTTGCAAGTCTTCTCATAGAAACAGTCCCACACATGAGGAAAGAATATTTGTTGGTTCAATTGTCCTGGGGGTTGGTTCCCCAAACAGAATATCTGTAAATGGAGGTGGGGCCTCAGAGGCCCAGGCTGGGAGACCACAAAAGGAAGAAAATAAAACTGGTGAGGTTCCAAAAGCAACTCAAAAGTCAGGACATGTCTAAAGATGTGCTCATCATTCAGGCCATCTCAAGCCCCCAGACAAAAGGGAAGGACAAGGGGCCCTGGGAGGCAGGGAAAGGCCCCCCCCCCGGGGGCTCCAGGCCCCGCTGTGTCAGCGTGCATGAATCCTCTCCTCAGGACAGCTGCTGAGGAGACCACCTAAGGCCAGCTATGCTGGGCTTCAGTGTGAGGCCACACATCACCACCATGGGAGCGGAGAAAGAGGGCTACAGCATGAGCCAGACTTCAGAGAGAGACAGACAGGCAGACAGACAGAGGAAGGGTAACAGCTAGCGATTATGGCAGCAAAAGCATCTGTGCCCAGAGGTGGGACGCAGGGGCCCACCTGAAAGGGGCACCTGGGAGCTCGAGGGCTCCAGTCACTCCAGGGGTCCCAAGCTGGGGAGGAATCTGGCTGCTTGAGATGCCTACACTTGCAAAGCCTGCCGGGTCAAATCCTGGTTGTTCAGATAAAACTATGGAAGGGGTTGGTTGGGAAATGGCTGGAATTATGAACACCGGCCCCCATGGGGAGATGGAGGGCCAGCCAGGGCTTCCTGAGTGGTTTCATATGAGAAATATGTCACCACAAGTATCATGTGAGTCTGTGAGACCATGAAGGTCATTAGGGCAAAGACATACAGACCCCATCTCCCAGAGTCCCAGCTCGGGGAGGAGGTCACCAGCTGGGAAAGACAAGGGCAGGAGGCAGGAAGTGCCCTCAGGGCCAGGCTGGGAGGGAGGGAGGGTAGAGAGGGTACAGAGGATAGAGAGGAAAGAGACACATTCCTTCCCTGGAACTTCCATCTTGACCCCCAAAATCCCCCTCCAGGGCAATTTCACCCCATAAGTCAACCCCATAGGATGAGCCTCAAGTTCAGAGCTCAAGCATTTTGAGGACTCATTACCCTGAGGGTGGCAACCATGCAGACCCCACTCTCACTCTCCTGCAGTGACTCTCATCTTCACAGTGGCCCATGAGGGAGTATTTCCACTGTCCCCACTTATCAACAAGAAAACTGAGGCGGAAGAGGCTAAGCAAAGGGTGCAGGATAGCGTACCTAGTGGGTGGTGAGCCAGGACTTGAACCCAGGGCTGTGGGATGCTCTATAACCACAACCTGTAGCCTCAGGTAGACCCCGACTCTCCACAATGGGGAGGCTAGACCAGGCCCAGAGGGTGTCTAGTATGTGTTAGATTTGAGGTGATTTCAGGGGAAGCCAGAAGCTCAGCTGGCTCTGTCGGGCCTCTCCACTTGACTTGTCCCTCTTTCCTCGCCAGCCAGGCTTCTAGCCTTCTCCCAGCCCAGGACCCCGCTCCGATCAGGGAACCTGGGAAGGCAGGAAGGAAGGGCCTCCACGCTGCACTTCTGCCTTCCCTGGGTGAAGAGGAGGGCGTCTGGGAAGGGCAGTGAGGGGCTGAGATGGAGACAGGGCGCCTGCCCACTCTGCCCATCCACATCTCCAGACCGCCTGAATGCCAGGGGAAGTTCACCAAGAGTTTACAAACCTCCTTTGTCACCGAGCTGCGGGAGCCATCAATCATGCCCTAATTTACTAGTGTCACTTTCCAGAGGAAAGCCGCCCAGAGCTGCCAGTGGCACTTCCTCTCTCACCCACTTGATGAGGATTTTGTCTAATTAGTCCGAGTTAAAGCACTCCCAGGAATGCAACGTGCAGTTACCGTGGCAGCAGCGGCGGGGATCCCTGAGGAGGTGCCATGACCCTCCCGGGCATAAGCCTGGAGTCTGTGGGGGACCTCTGGGAAACCCGGAGAACCCACCAAGGGGCCTACTGAAAAGGGGTCTGGAGAGGAATGTCAGGGATCGGGGGAGGGGCGGGCCAGGAAGGAAGGAGGCAGTGTAAAGAATGGATGGAGGATGACAGGGTCCCACCCTCACCCTCGCCCTCTAGGCAGGCCAGGCTTCTTGGCTCACAGATGTAGACTGGGTCCCACTCTGTTGCTCCCCTCCCCCAAGCCATGTGGGAACAGAGATCCGGAGGGCTGCACTAAGCCTTGCTCAGCAGTGACCCTTGACTGGGAATGCCCAGAGCTTTGGCCATCTGGGGACCTATATCTACGCCCAACATCTTTCCTCCTGCACACATTTCCCCAACCAGATCAGGCTTTGTACAAGCTGTTCCCTCTGCCTCGGATGCTGTTCCCTCTTTCATCTGTCTGGTAACCTGGCAGTCTTGCTGGTCCCAGCTCAAACACCACTTACACTGAGATGCCCTTTCAAACTCCTGTGGGCAGGAGGGTGACTCTGTCTCCCTTCTACCTGGTCTTCCCCAGGGGTTCTGCCCTCTTCTACTTACAGGAGGGTCTCTCTGACCATCTTATGAGCTACATGGGGACTGGGACCATATGTCTGCCATCTTTATACCCCTGCCCAGTGTGCTCGGCACGTGGTTGGGGCTCCGTCAATCTCTCCAGGTTGAATGAATGAATGACCATCACCCCCCTTAATGCATAGCCTCAGATAACCCACAGGCCAAGTCACCCTCCCAAAACCTGCCAAAGGACTCTCCTGGGCTGTCACCCTGCTCAGGGGAATCTTGTCCTGGTATGACATTTATCGGGGGCCAACCAGGGAATTCTGCACCAGATCACCTAAGGTCAGGAAGGGGCTTTATAGATCAGTGGTCCTCTTCATTTAAGTGAGGAGCAAACCTGGGCCCAGAGACCCTGGGTGATTGTCTGAGGTTACCCAGCAGCCAGTTACCAGGAGTAGGGACACGCCTATCATTCCAGGGATTTGAGGAGCCCTGAAGCTGAAGTAACTCCCAGCAAATCTCCACGAGCTGATCTCTCTGGCCCCTTCAGAATTCTGGGCACATGCAGGGCACCCCCAAGTTCCTGTCTCTGCCTCCCCCATGCTCTCTAGAGGCCACCCCCACAAGGCTGGCGCATACCTTGCGCTTTTTGGCACGTCCCTCGGCCTGCAGGGTGCGGGTGCAGCGCTGCACACACTCGGAGAAGCTGAGGTTGCTGTGGTCGGCACTGTAGTCAAGGTCAGCCAGCCGTGCCAGAGACAGGATGTAGTTACAGGCGATCCTCAAGATGGCCAGTTTGGACAGCTTCTGCCCATACGAGTAGCACGGCACCTGAGGGGAGAAGGCGTCAGGAAGGACTGCAGGGTCGCAGCGCCCAGCCTGGCAGGCATGGGAGGTGGCCTGTCTATGGTGTATCTGGGCCCTCTACCCTGATCTTATGATCTGCTCTACACACCTGCTGTTTACACACACACACACACACACACACACACACACACCCCTCAGCTCATCTGCTCTGAGATATACCCACATTCCCATTTTGCAGGGGAAGAAACAGGTTCAGCTCATGCCCACCTGCCAGTCAGTCTGAATGGAAGCTCAGTGAATTTCCACGACCACCACAGAGCTCTGCCCTCCACCCTCCTGAGCAGGAATCTCTCTGAGAGAACAAGCATTTTGTTTTTTCAGCTCTGATGTTCCATTCATTCATTCAGTAACACTTGTTTTGCTGAGCACTTGGGTAGTGCGACAATAAATGACTTGATTCCTGCTTCAGAAAACTTTCGCTTGAGTGAGATTATAATGTCATGCTTGGGACTCTGGGGACATGCAGGAAGGAAAGCGTCAGTGCTCAGCTGGAAAGACACAAACATGGTTGGGTTTCATTTTTTAAAAATCTTTTTCTCTCTCCCCTCAGGACTTGGGGTGCTGCTGGGCAGACAACAGTGGCGTAATACATACTCATGGCACTGAACAAACTTGACATGTTTGTCAATGGTTCATCACCAACTAGCTCCTCACTAATTGCACAGGGATTTATATGGGGTGAAAGATGGAGCCTCTGATTTTTTAAAACCCCGCTCCATCAATATTCATCAATATTCATGCTGCATGAGCAAAAAGCTCCAAAGACTGCAGCATACGTAAACAGAGTTCTGTCTTGAAACCTGGAAATAGCTCCATGAAATCAATCTGATAGATACTAACTAACAGACCCTATGTTCCTACAATGCACTGTTCACCTAAAGGGCTAAAAACCCAGCAAGGGTCCTACACCAGGAAGGACAGCTTGCCCTTCATAGGGCCCTAACAGCACCCCATCTGGCCATAACTGCTCACACTCTGGCACTTTAGTGGTCAGTCTCCCTATGAACTGTGGGTGGAAGGCCCATGTCTGCAGAGCCCAGCACAAGACTTGCCCATAACAGGTCCTCGAAAGGGTTTGTTGATTGAGGCAGTGAGTGAACAAATGAATGATCTCCCTCTGGATCTTCATTCCAGAATATTTTGAACTAGGCTCAAACACCTTTCCTCTCGCTGCTGATGAAGATGTAGCTATTTTGCATAAAGCTAAGCACATGTACGTTTTTGTTAGCTGGGTTCAACTTCTGGCTCTAGCTTTGTCTAGCTGTAAGACTCTGGGCAAGGGACAGAATCTTTCTGAGCCTCGTTTCCTTATCATATCGGGAACAGGACTGACCTCACAAGGTGGTAAGGATTAAATGAGATGATGTATGCATTGCATAAAGTAAGGCCTGATAGAGGTCTGTGAAAGTATTATGGTTGGTTTTGCAGTAAGTCCCCAAAGTCGGGCTCCAGAGCGGGTGAAGAGCCAGGACACATCCCTGTACCACCCTCCACCCTCTGGGGGTTCTGAGACACGGAAACCCAGGAGAGGAAGAGGAAGGCGACAGAGAAAGCCAACTCCCATGCTTTGCACCCCTCACCCCATCTCCCACTCCCAGCCCTGGCCGCAGCTCCAAACCCATCCCAGAAATGCTGGCAGAACAATGCACTTTGCTCATTCCCAGCCAGAGTCCAGGGAATCCTGCTTTATCAGCCTGAACAAATAAACAAGGTCTGGCAGTCCTGGGGCAGGGAAGGGGGTCTCAGGGGCTGGCCAGCACTGTTGCCTCCTCTTCACCCCAGAGAGGGTGTGGCAGCCTGGTGGAGGTCCTGGGAACTGGGTGCAGCTCTGTACACAGCCCTTAGCACTGCTTTCACACGGAGGCCATGCTAGGAGTTTCTGTTAACGGCCCAGCTCTTTGAGCCCTTGGCCTGTAACAGCTGGGCTTGCAGGAGGGAGCAGGGATTTTGGAAGGGATCTATACACCGTGATCCAGGGTCACTGTGGGACCACAGAGCAACGGCTAAGGCCAAGGCCAACCTAGGGGCTCCCATGCCAGGTTCTGGGCCAGTTCTGTCCTAGATACGTTTCTTGCCTATTGTTTCTGTCAAGTTCCAGGTCTAAGAAGAAATGCATGCATTGAGCTCTTGTATATCTGACACTGCAGTAGCTATTTACAGGTAGTGTTAGCGCACTTAAAACCTTCCCCACCATCTGTACACACAAAACCAGAGAGGTGACACATTGGGCCCCAGATCACTCATCTGACTGACACCAGGCACACGGCCAGTAGGCTCTCTCAGCTCCCACCACACCACAGGTAGCCATATCCGGGATGCCGAAAGCCTCTTTCAGGTTGTTCACCTCTCCTCTTCCCCCACCCCCATAGGCAACTCCCCACCACCTGGCCAATTCCAGATCCTCCCGGCACCCATGCCCCAGGATGCAGCTCCTCAGCTCCCAACAGCCCAGCTCAGAGGCACCCCAGCCTGGGCTGTCACCACAAAGTGAGAAGCTACCACCCATTCTGGCTCTGGAATGTCAAGATATGGTGGAAAGAGCTGCTCTGAATTCCAGGCACTTACAAGCAGTATGACTTTGGGAAGTACCTTCACTCCTTAGAGCACCCGTTTCCTCATCTGGAAAGTTGGGGTAGCAATGCCTGGGCAGCTCACAGGGCTTCGAGGACTACATCAAGTAACTCCCGCCAGAGTCTGAGCAGCACAGATTCCCCGTGATGCTGGGCCCAGGCCACCTTGTGGTTATTATGATCTATTAAGGCTGGGCAGAGGGTAAGCATTTCAAATACGATGTCGTATTCATCTTTTAAGCAGCCCAATGGGGTAGAAATGATCACTTCCACTTCACAACAAAGCATGTGACTCTCAGGCATGTAGGCATTTCCTGGATCTCTCAGCTGGTGAGTGATGAGCTGGGTTTTGAACTGGTGACCTAGCTGGGCTCTTTCCAGTTAGCCATCAGGAACTGCCTGGGGATCTGAGTAAGTGTCAATAGCTTAAGGTGAGGAGGTAGGCAGCCCACCCTCCTGAGCTGGGGATGGAGAGTCCTGGGCTGATGATGCCATGAGATCCCTCTTAGAGCATCCACAGCAAGGCCCAGAGCCCACCCACCACCATTGCCTACAGAGGCCCCCATAGCAGTTGTCTGCTCACCCTGGTCAGGGGACACAGGCCAAAGGAGGAGGCAGAGTTACCTGGCTCCCACTCCCGACAGACTGCCCAACTTCCAGGAAAGTAAAAGGATCTGTCTTGCACTCATCCCAAAAGGATTTTTCAACTTTGAAGGAATAGACTTTGGCATTTTCACAAGGTCCCATATGCCCCCAAAACCTTCCACCCAACCCACCCTAAGCTGGACCCAGTTCCAGCAAGCAAAAAAAAAAAACATGAAGAGCACTGGCCTGGGAGACCGCAGGCCTGGCTCCACCCCTGGCCATCCACATGACCTTAGTTAGGCAGGTCCATAAGCTGACAAGACCTCAGTTTCCTCACTAGTGAAATGGGCATTAGAACACCTACTACCTCAGAATGAGATCACAGGTGCAAATGTGGGAAAGCTTCCCAAAGAAACAATGCTGAGAACCTACCAGTGAATGCAGAAAAGGTCTCAAAGCCCTCCACACTCTCGCTTCTGTGCCAACTCCGGCCCACCCTTCAGACCCAGCCCAAGATGCCCTCCTGGAAGCCCATAGGGCTCCAACAGCACTACGCCCACTACACACAGAAGAGCATCAGATTCCACTGAAATGATCGTCTGATCGTCTTGTGTCGGTGAGCACCGGATCCCCGATGTGAAGCCACTCTACCCAGAGCTGTCCGGTGTCCTTCCCAAAGTCTATCTAAACAGGTCCTTTAAAATCCCAACCTCGCCGGGCACAGTGGCTCACCCCTGTAATCCCAGCACTTTGGGAGGCCGAGGCAGGTAGATCATGAGATCAGGAGTTTGAGACCAGCCTGGCCAACATAGTGAAACCCCGTCTTTACTAAAAACACAAAAAATTAGCCTGGCGTGGTGGCGGGTGCCTGTAATCCCAACTACTTGGGAGGCCGTGATTTACGAATCACGTAAACCTGGAAGGTGGAGGTTGCAGTGAGCTGAGATAGTGCCACTACACTCCAGCCTGGGCAAGAGTGTGAGACTCTGACTCAAAAAAAAAAAACTCCCAACCTCCTGCACAGCCAGCAGGCTGGACCCTGAGAACCTGGGTCTGGGTGGTTAAGAGCTACGGCTCCAGGGCCAGACAGGCTTGAGTACAGATCCTGGTCACTCTGTGGCCTTGAGCAATCACTTCACCTCTCCATAAGCATCCTCATCTGCAACATGGGAAGACAACACTTCAAACCTCTCACAGCAGGCTCAGGTCAGGCCTCACTCAGTGCAGGAGCAGCCGCCCTGGTGACCGTGGACACAATGGAACACGAGGAAGACCTTTGTCATCCTTACCTATCTGCATGGAGCCCCTAGTGCAAGCAGGCCTGTGCCTCATTGGCTGAGGGAATGGTGTGCAGGCTTCTCTGTGCCCTCCACATCCCCCTTGCACTCTGTGGAGTTTAAGAGTGAGGAATGTGCTGGGGTACCATTCCCACACCCCCTCCAGGGACACCCTGAGTTCACTCGATGAGGACCCCCTGGGAGGCTCCAGGGGCAGCAGGGGAGGTGGCCTGGGCCCCAACTGCTTGGCACATCGTCAGTGGAGAGGACCGCGGCAGAACCTGGGGCCCCACACTGCCTTCCATTACAGCCATCCTCCATCAGTGCTGAGAGGCTTAGAGGGAGAGAGGAAATCCACATGCACACCACATGCCCCAAGGGAGGGCACAGCTTGTGAGACAGAAGGTCCTGCCACTCTGGCCCCTTCCCTCACCACCCCACAAGTCCAGCCTTTCCCTTTGACCCCTCCCACCTGGCAGGGAGCAGCCCCACTCCCGGGTCAGGCCAGCTGTGCACACATGGCCTTCACATGAGGTGGCAGTGAGGGCTCTGGTGCAGCTGCACTGGTGGCATGTGCTGCGGCCTGACCATCTGCCCCACACCATCCAGCCCAGACTGGAGGGCCTCTCTCCCACCTGCACCTCCCCACCTGCAGCCATGCAGCTACCATCCCTGCTCCCTTCCTGGTTGAGAGGACAGTGGATTATGACACAGTGGGAGCCTGTCTGGCTTCCTCATGCTGAGGGTGGATGGCGCCAGGACATTAGACAGGCTGAGGAGCAGAGCTGTTAGGAGTCAAGGCCCTGAGAGTCCAACCCAAGCTCCACAGCAGCAGCAGCGGCACATAGCTCCATAGCCGACAAATGTACACTGCTGTGAGGCACCGCCACCCTGGAGTCTGGCCAAGGTAGGGTGTAGCACAAAACCCCCAAGGCCACGTGCAGTGACAAGAGACTGGGACAACTTACATAAGCTCTCTGAACCTCAGGGTCACCATTCGAGAAACAGGGCAGGGGGTGTGATTGTGACAATATCTATTTCATTAAATGAACTAATATACATAACAGGCTTAGAACCATGCCTGGCACAAAGTAAGTATGTGCTAAATGCTAGTTTCTCTGATAGTTATTAAAATGATTAAAGAATTCTTTTTTTTTTTTTTTGAGACGGAATTTCACTGTTGTTACCCAGACTGGAGTGCAACGGCGCGATCTCGGCTCACCGTAACCTCCGTCTCCTGGGTTCAAGCAATTCTCCTGCCTCAGCCTCCCGAGTAGCTGGGACTACAGGCGCGCACACCATGCCCAGCTAATTTTTGTAATTTTAGTAGAGACGGGGTTTCACCTTGTTGACCAGGATGGTCTCGATCCCTTGACCTCATGATCCACCTGCCTCGGCCTCCCAAAGTGCTGGGATTATAGGTGTGAGCCACTGCACTCGGCCAATTAAAGAATTCTTATTGCTTCATCTGTCGAGAGCTTTGCCCAGCCCTGAGGACCTTGGAGCTGCGTAAGAAATGGTCACTGCTCTGGCTGTGCGTGGTGGCTCATGCCTTTAATTCTACCACTTTGGGAGGCTGAGGCAGGTGGATCACCTTAGCTCATGAGTTAGAGACCAGCCTGGGCAACATGGTGAAATCCCGTCTCTACTAAAATACAAAAAATTAGCCAGGCATGGTGGCGTGCACCTGTAATCCCAGCTACTCAGGAGGCTGAGGTGTGAGAATCGCTTGAACCCAGGAGGTGTAGATTGCAGTGAGCTCAGATCACACCACTGCACTCCAGCCTGGGTGACAGAGAGAGACTCTGTCTTGAAGGAAGGAAAGAAAGAAAGAAAGAGAGAGAGAGAGAGAAGGAAGGGAGAAAGAGAAAAAGAAAGAGAGAGAGAAGGAAGGAAGAAGGGAAGGAAGGAGAGAAGGAAAGGAATAAAGAAAAGGAGAGGAAGGAAGGAAGGAAGGAAGGAAAGAAATGTTCACTGCTTTTATAGGCCTCCTTCTTTCCTCATTTGCTCTTCTCAACACTATGGATGAGATCAATGATACCATTTTACAGCTTCAGCAACTGAGGCCCAGAGAGGGCCAGTGACTTGTCCACGGCCACACAGAAGGCATGCAGAGGAGACACAACTCAATGCCAGGCCTCCAGGTTCCCAGGTCAGTGCATCTTTCATGGTTCCAGGAAGCTGCTCAGAAGAACGAAGCCCCAGGCCAGAGAGACGATCCCAGAACCCAACTCAGTGCCACACTGGCCAAGGCCCCATTTCAGGCAGAGCTGAAATGGGCCTTTCCAAGGGCCCATTTCAAACAGTCAGGCCCGAGGCTAGCTCCAGAGCTACAGCTCATCTGGATTGGGGGTGGGGGTGGGGAGTACATTTTATGGAGAAGACTGAGGCCCAGAGGAGGAAGGGGCTCCTCCAGAACATGGGACTTCCTCCATTGAATGGGTGCCATGGTGGTGAGGGGAACATGGTGAGTGTGGCCTTGGCCGCTGGCTGTATGACCAGAAACGTCGTGGCCATATTTCTTTCTTTCCCAGCTAACAGAGAGGTGCCCACTATGGCCTGGCAACCTTTCTAGGGAAGGGACAGAATGGCTGGGGCAAGGAGTAAACCAACAGGAACAGGCGCTTCTGTGACCGTGCATTTGTGTGTGCTTTTGAGCACGTTCAAGGAGCGCGTGTGTGTGTGCTTGCATGAGGGTTTGCATTGCATACATACTCTGTCCGAGAGGGCATGGGTTCGCCTTCTGCTTAGACACGCTGAACTTGCCCTTTTTATAGAGAACTTCCTGAGGGAATGGGGGAAGTAAAAGGAGACCAGGATGAACAATCTCATTTCAAAGTGTACACCCTGCTGGGGGCTGGGGGGAGCACATGATGCTGATACAGATGGCACTGAGGGAAGCATTTGGCCAGAGGGCATTCCAAAAACTGCTGTCATCTTTCCTAACCCACTAGGTGATCTGGGACAAGTCTCCTTCCATCTCTGAGGCTCAGGGTTTCATACTACAAAATGAGTTAATCCAGTTTTCACAGGGATGTTGTTTAGATCAAATGAGACAGAATTGATTGTTGAATGAAGTAAAAGCCAGTGGGCACATGAGATGTAACAGAACACTCAGATGAGTATTCTCTCAGCACACAGAGAGGCAGCAGGGGGGCAGAAGGGCCCAGAACCAGCAGTCAAAGGCCATAGGTGCCAGCCCCGACCTGTTATTCACCAACCGTGAGGCTCTGGGTACATGCCTCCCCCGTCTAGGAGGGGCTTCCCTAGTGGCAAGGTGGGCAAGTGGACAGGCATCTCTGCCCTTCTGTTATCCTTCTGTCCTGGAGAGTGTGTGGCAGGATCCCCCAAGCACTGCTACCCCTACCCAGCAATGCAGGCACAGAGCTGCTGGCTCAGGGTAGGACTGACTGCTCCACTGGGCCCACTGCCCAGGGTTCCAGCTGGTGTGGCTGAGGGCAGAGGCCCAGCCTGATCTGTGACAGCCACTTGCCCCCGCCCCCACCCCACCTCACTCACCACTTTCCCCAAGCCCAAGCAAGACACTTTTGCTCAAAAGTCATAGGGCCTCTTTCCCCAGGGATTCCATTTCCTTTCCATGAGTAGACACAGGCACTACTGCCCCGCCCCACCCCAGCCAACAGGAGGAAGAGGAGAGTGATCCAAAAACAAGATCATGGTTTCTGAAATGTTTTCTTGCTGGATAAAACCCAGAGAAGTTGAGCAAAATTCCTGGAGTCACACTGCAAGTCAGCTGTAGAGCATGCAAAAAAATAAAACAGAAAAACACACACACTTCGAATTAGCCACATCTACCCTAACCCTTCTCTGAGCCCTGTGTCGGGTGGGATAGAACTCACCACCTCCTTCCTAGAGCCCCTTCTCACTAAGAAAATAAGAAGCCTAGAAGCCCAAGCCAGTACCAACCTTGTCTAAAGTGGAATTGTAAACTGCCCCGCCCCACCACGGGTAATTCTTGGGTTAAGCATTCTTCTTCTACCTGCTCAGGGGCACTGTTTGGTGAGGGCAGTCCTCACCAGCCCCAAACTAAAAAGTCCCCAACTCACCCCAGAACTAGACTCTGAAGATGCTCCAGAGAAAATCCCCCAACTAGACGGTCCCCTCAGCACGGTTGCCTGCTTCACCACAGGATGAAAGGAAGGGATCTCAGGGAAAGACTCCCACCAGCTCATTCCTGAGGCCACCCCTGGGGAGAGAGCACAGGCTTGTAGCGCGGGTTCTTGAGGATGCCAGGGCAAGGGGTGCATAGCCCGTTAGAAACCTGAATGTTTGGAGCATCACTGCTGGGAGCTGGGGGCTGAAGAGGGGTTGACCAGCTCCCCTAGACTGCCCCGCCGCAGCGTTCCCGGCCTCACCGCCAACAACAGGAGCCAAGACCCCGACCATGCCAAATGCCTGGAGAAGGGTTGCCCCCTTTCTCCCGCAACCAAGACCAGATTCCCACATTTCCCCTCTCCACTCCGCATGGCGCCCAGGGGACTCTAGCAGGCAAATACTCGCTGCCATAAAAGTGAACTATGAAGGCTGAAGTCAGACGCGCAGACAGCGTTACCCCCAAGGCGGGGGTGGAGGGAGGACTTGGGGGGTGCGGTGCTCGGGCCAGAGATCTCCAACCTTTTTCTCCACTTCGAAAACTATGATCCATACCAACGTTGTGGCAAAGTCACTGCCCCAGGGCTGTCCACATCTGTCTGGGCTCCCCAGGGTCGGACCGGGCTGGGCAAGTTGCCCCTTAAACACACCTCTATCCCGGCCCGGCCACTCGCCTACCCATTCCGGCAGTGGTCCCCGAGCGCAGTGAGGGCTTGCGGCGGGGAGCGGGTACCTGCTTCCTGAGCGCCTCGAAGGCTGCGCTGATGGTGTGCACCCGCGTCCGCTCCCTGGCGTTCGCCAGGAGCCTCCGGGTCTGCTGCAGGGCTTTGATCTCCGAGGAGGCGGCAGTCGCTTCGCCTGGTCGTTTCCTAGGCGACGCAGAGGAATCCGGGTGGTTATTGTAAATTACGTGTGAAATTGACGAGTAGGAACTTTCCCCGGGGCGCGCGGGGGGCGGGGGGCGCACTGTGGACTCCGGGGGCGCTGGCGGCGCTGGCGGCGCTGGGGGCGCGGACGGCTTGGGGCGCGCTGGCGGTGCGCACAGCAAGATGCGGGGACGCAGACCCGGCTCTCGGAAAGGCTGTGTCTCTGCGCCCCCAGGTGCCAGGCTCTGGGGCACAGGGGGAGGTGGCGTCGTCGTCGTGGGGAGTCCTGGCCCCACTGCGCCCAGGGCAAAGCCGCGTTTCCGCGCGTCGGAGACCTCAGGCACCCGGGAGCCCCCGTGCTCCCCGGCTGTGTCCGCGCCCCCTCTTGGAGGAGCGGCCGGCGCCACTGGGGCTGGCACCGGCACCGGGACCGGGACCGGCTGCAGCCGATGGGTCCTGTCCCGCAGCCCGTTGGTGGCGACGGCGCGGGGCTCGGGAGCTTCCAAGTCCAATCGGAAAGTTTTATAGCCGTTCGCGCGCCGCGCCGGCTCCTTGCCTTTCCGCTTGAGCTTCTTGAGGCCGTTCAGCTCTTTCACGCACACGGTCTTCCACGGTCCGTCCTCGAGGACCGGGATGTGCTTCATGGCGCGGGCGGCGCGCGAGGCAGGGGCGTGGGGCTGCCCGGGCCGCCGCCGCGCTCAGCGCCGAGGAGTCTCGGCTCTCCCCCTTCGCCCGCCTCCCCCTCCCTCTCTCCCTTTCTCCCCCTTGCCCGGGGCAGCTGCGCTGCCGGCTCCGCGAAGCCGCCGGGCTGTCCGTTCCCGGAGCGCTCAGAGTGTCATCTGAAGTCGCTGCCGCCTTGCCAGCATTTCTGGAGAACGCCCGCTGCGCTCCATCTGTGTTTGTTTAGCCTCAGTTTACACAGAAGCCCAGTTCGCGAGATCAGTCAGCGCCGCCGTCCGGAGAGGAGGCAGCTCCCGCCGCCACCGCCTCCCCAGCCCCGGCCGCCCGAGCCGCGAGAGCCTTTAAAGAAACAGGAAGCATTTTTCAAAACAGCTGGGCCGCCGGCCGCCTCCTTTGTCCGCGTGCTCCCTGCCTCCCCCCACCCCCATCCCCTCGGCCCAGAACCTGCCTCCATCGGCTCTCCCTCCCCTCCCCTACTCAAGTGTGGGACGCTTCTGGGTTCCCAGAGGACCATCAGCTCCTGCACAGCCTCCCCGAGCAAGTGATTTAGAGGCCCCTTGGCCTTTCCCCAAATCACAGCGGGGCCTTCTCTCCCAGGCCTCGTCGGCCTCTCAGTGACACAGCTCCGACCTGGCCCACCCAGTACCTTCCCGCCGGTCCCTCCGCCCCAACTCGCCAAGCAACAGAAAACCGGGGAAGCGGGGACTTCTGCGAGGGACCGATGGGGAAGGGGGAACTCCAGAGTTGCCCGACCCTCAGCCGCGTGGCACGGCAGCCCAGTCCACTATCACTTGCTGGAGAGGGAAAGCAAGAGGAGCAGAGGGCTTAAGACAGGGAAACTGAGTCTCCGAAAGCTCCAAAGTCACACAGCAAGTCACAGAGGCAGAGGAGGGTGGAAGCTTCGGATTTAGGCAGACCTAACGTCTGTGAGCCTCTACAGTCACCTCACACCAGGCGCCCTGCTAAGCCCGGATTTACTCATCTATGAAATTAGAAATTCGGAAAACACCAACTTCTAAGTCACAGCATTGCTCTGAGGAAGTAAAGCACCAGGCACATAGGAAGGGGTCGTCAAATGGGAGCTGTGGTTGTTACTATTATTATTATTATTTATCGAGGCAAAATAGCTCCTTGAGGCAGACTTCCTGGGCTCAAACCCCAGCTCTGCCACTCACTGTGTGACATTTGGAAAGACACTTAACCTCTCTGTGCCTCCCTTTCCTCGCCTGTAAAACAAGGGTCATAAGCATACCTTCCCCCCGCCAGGAGGCTGTGAACAGCCTCCTGTGTGCATGTATGCACAGGGTACTCATAGCAGTGCCTGGCACCAGGCAAGAGCTTGGCAGATGCCCACGTTTATTGACAAGGGGCAGAGATCTACCCCCCAGACCCTCAGTCCTCTGTGCCACTCCACTGGAGATTCTGGAAAGAAGGGATCCAAGTAGTAGGCCCTCACGTGTCCTCACCAGAGGACCACCTCCTGGCTGCTCCCTTCCGAGGCTCAGAACAGGGCTTTACTCTTTGCTGGTCCCTTTTCTGTGGCTGTTGCTTCTTAAGACAGGTGGGCACTAAAAGCCAGCAAGGTGGTTTGGGAGAAGATGGACCCTTGACCCTGGCCTCGAACTCTGATGAAAACACAAGGGCTCACACTGGAGTGCCTCTCTCCTCCAAGGCAGAATGTCTAGGGGTGGAGGAGGCAGATGGCAGGGTGGCCTGAAGCACGCGAGGTGCTGGGAGGTGGGATGGGAGTCTAAACAAAGCTTCAGAGGCGGCAGCAGGGAGCTGGGCCAGGAGCCCTGGTTGGGCCTTGGCTTTTCAACTCTGGAGCCCCATGACCATGAGCAAGACATTTCCTCCCACCAGGGCTCTACTTTTCTGTCTTTGAGGATATTTCTGTCCAGCCAACTTCTCAGGGTAGCTGAGAAACGACAAAGAGATCATGAATGTCAAAGGACTTTGACATAAGGATTTAAACACACACACACACACACACACTAAGGCACATAGTTTTCTGACTATAGTAAATGCAAAATCTCATTTTCCCACCAAGGTGAGTGCCAGCATCATAAAGCATGTGTTCCCAGAGACCCCCTTCCCAGGACACCTGCGTTTTCCTGCATCTTATCTCTGTCCTGGAGGCCAAGGGTGTGTCCCCAGAGAGGAGCCTTCATTCTCCTGTCATTTCCCTGCTCAACCTCGAACCCTAAAGTCCTGCCCTTTGCTCCCCTTTGCAAAGCACACTCTTCCTCACCCTTTGATGACCAGCTCCAGCCCTGCTCCTCCTGTGAACCTTCCCTGCTTACCACAGCCTCCAGTTGTTCTTGCTGGCCTCTGCGCATGCTTGCTCGTAAGTCCTGCTGCAGCTTAACCTCTGCTGCAGCCCTGTTGGAACTCCTGGGCTTGTGCATTCCTCAAAGGCACACTCTTGTCTTCCTCCCTGTCTCTAAAGCCTGGTGCTCAGGAAGCCTCTGATAAAGACTAACAGCCCTTGTGCCCTTTACAGTCCTGTCTGCAGACTCAATCCTCCTATGCATCCAGCTAGTCAGTGGCAGAGATGGAGGAAAAGCGATGCCCCTTCTACAGAGCTGCTCAGGCACTCTCTGAGCTTCAGTATCTTCCTCTGTAAAATGGAGTGAATTACATCATGCCTCACAGGGCTGTGAGGACTCACAGGCTGCATGTGCAGCATTTGGCATGATGCCTAGAGTCTAGGGAATGGTGACCTGGGGCATCCTGGGTTAGCCAGCTGCCCAGGCCCCCTTGCATCCCAGACTTGGGTGTAGTTGAAAACTGGGGTGCCCGTGGCCAGTTAGTGGATGTTTCTCTAGCAGGATTGAATTTTGTCCATAAAGAGGCCAAGCTGTGTCTGGGAAAATCACATCTTGGTTGAATACCAAGGGATCCACTCGTACTGACCCTGAGCCCTGTGCCAACTTCCCCCAAATAGAGGAGAAGGTCACTGAGATCCCATGAGGCAGAAGGAGGGGAAGGGATTGGATAGGAATGACCAGCCACGCAGGGTGTAGGTAGAGCCAGGCTGCAAGCCAGGCTGCAGGCCAGACGGGCTCCTTCCCCTCACCATGCTGCCTCTCTGTTGGCCAAATGCCAGGGCCCCAGATTTGGAAAAAGGCAAGTTCAGAGGGACCTTCACCTTGCCACGTACCAGCTGTGTGACCTTAGGCAGCTCCCTGACCTCTCTGAGCCTCTGTTTACTATCTGGGCATCATCTCATCTCATGAGATGGAACGGTGTGTGGGGATACAGGCAGCAAACTGTAAAGAGGCCAATTGTCTTGGAGTCCCCGCCATTGCCATTGTCAGTCTACCAGGTTGCAGACCTTCCAGGTCCAGGCTGGCTGTCCACACCTCACCAGCCGAAGGGTCAAACCTGTCTCCCTTCCAAGGGCTCTCACTTCTGCCTTCCTCAGCCTTGCTGAGAATTGGGGCAGAGACCAACTGGGCAGCGCCCCCTGGTGGTATCACACTCAGGACTGCACACAACACTGCGGTCTCTCCGTGAGGAACTTCTTGCCCATTGTGGTGGCCCTGTAATGACAGAAATGTGGATTTCACGAATTCATAGACTTTCCAGGATAAAAAGGCTCCTAAGGCTCTACCCACAACTTTGGATGGGACAATACAGACAACACTCTATGCCCTTCATTAAAAACATCGCCCACTGAATTAACCGTTTGGGGTGACCCTGGGAGGGAGTGATGTTGTCACTGGAAGATTCCATACCCCCTTGGGTGGGGGTGGCTGGCCCAGGGAAAAGGAATAAAGATAAAAAGGGAAGGAAAGGCAAGAGCTTAGGGGTCAGGCCACTGGGAGCAGTTGCTAGAAAGCCAGGCAATCATAATTCTTTAATACAGCCATGGAAGGAGCACATACAAACTCTATCTCCCTAATCCTTATCATCACCCAGGGAAGTAAACCCACTCTACAGATAAGAAGACTGAGGCTCCTAGTGGGGGAAGGGGAAACCTTGCCAACAGAAAGAACAGTAGTGGGATTTGAACCCAAGCCAACTGACTCCAAAACCCAAGCTCTGAACCACTGTGTCTGCTGCCTCCTGAGAGCTCAGTGACTAGCATCTGGGAGGTGATAACTGGCCCACCTATGGGGCTGGTCTGTGTCAGCCAGATCTCCTTGCTGTGCTGCCGGCCTGGTGGGCTTCTTGCTGTCCACCTCTCAGCTGGAGCCACTGGCCTCCCTTGGTCCAGCACAATACCCTTCTAGCTCCTTCTAGTCAGGGTAAGATGGCAAGGGCATACAGAGCCCAGATCTTGGTATCCAGGCACTGGGGCCCTCCCTCATTGCCAGTGGAAGCTGCCCAGTAATTCCTTGGTGCACACACCAAGAGAGTGAGGACAGGACAGCTCTGCAGAGTGGCAGCTAGTGGTTAGCATCTTCTTGGCTGGATGGGATGGAACCTTGGATGCTTGCTACATGAAGCCTCTGCATTCCTGAATCTGTAGTCCCTATTTATGGCTGTTCAGATTGTTCCAAAGTAGGTGTGGCACCCATTAGAGAAAGGGAGGAAGAGTAGAAATTAGACTGCCAAGAGGAAACTCTCCTGGTGGAGACAGACACAGTATGAATGGTGACCCCTGGAATGGTACTCACAGCCTCACCAGAAAGGGCCATGCAGGGAGTAAGAAGAACCCAGAGCTCCTCCTCACCTTTAATTCACAGTGCTAGCACTGCCACCATTAACCAGCGGGACATGGGATCCAGAGGACAGTGAAGAGACATCCAGGCAGCAAACTCTTCCAGACTCTTCTGCAATCTTCCTTCTACCTTTCTCTATTCAAGTGGCCATCCCAATTATAGAAAACTGAGTCTTTGGGACTGGGCAGATGCCAGATAAGGGCACTTCCTCCCCGCACCTGCTGTGTGCACCATCTCAGCACATGCTCTGTGTACCTTCTTAGCACATGTGCAGAGGGCAGTGCCTGAGGGGCGGGGCTTGGTCCTGACTCTTGGTTAGAGTCAAAGGGGAGAGTGGGGAGGGGAAAGGCCAGGAGGGTGGTCAACAAACAACAGGAGAAGCCTGGCATGACAGCTCTCCACACCACTGGCCAGATATTCTGCTAAAACAGAGAATGTCATGTCATTTCTCTGCTTAAAACCTCCCTTGAATTCTTTTTCTTGGATATGTTGGGGACCGCTATGGATTCCTCCCTCCCTGCCTGCATGGAGAGGTGGCGTCTGTCCCACCATTGCCGTGAACCTGGGCTAGCTGTGGCTGCTCTGGCTAATGGAGCTGTGCAGCAGTGGTGCTGTGCTTTACCAAGACTGGCTGTTTCAGCTTCCTGCCAGTTGGAAGCCCTTAGTTGCTAAGTGAGAAGTCCAGGTGGGTTCTGCTGGAGAGAGAGGCCAAATAGAAAGCAACACAGTGCCAGACATGTGAGTGAAGAAGGCACT